TTTAATAGAAAGTATTTCATCCAATAGAATATTAGTATAAATTATTGGATTGTGAACTAATTAGTGCGTGCCAACATAATAAATCCATCGATTTATTATGATGAACTAAGAAGTGCCTGTGACAAAAAAGTCCACAAAATAGAGCATCGGCTATTAATTAATAATATAGTTTAAATGTAACGTTTTACTCGAAATATTAATTTAAAAACAATGAGACGTGGTTTTTTCACTTGACCATATAAGACTACCTCCATCAAGGGATTCTAAAAAATTAAAGAAGTTCTCAAAATAATAGTTAAATATTATAAAAGTTCTTAAAAGAGGAGAGATAGTGTCTAAAATATCTTATTTGAGAATCCCACTCTCCTTTTTTGAAAATCTCTCCTCATATATTATTTATATTTTGTTTTATATAATTTTTTTGATTTCTTCTCTAAGAACCTTAGATATGCCGGCTCTTGAAAATATAATATGGGTTGTGTCATGTGTGTCTCATAGTGTGGTTTGATATGTACCATTATATGTATGTCTCATATTAAAAAGCTTTGTGTTTCAATGTTGGATCTTGGGATTGGTTCCATGAGGATCACTCCCGAAACAATAAGACGTCATTTTTTCACTTAAGGTAATTTATGTATAAGTATTATGGATCCATATTGCTTTGTACTAATGTTGTTAGTTTTTCTTCTACAACCACCAGTATTAAAGCCCCAAAGTCAGTATATTTTAACAGAAAATTTTCCATCCAGTAGAATATTATATAAATTATTGAATTATGGAGAAGCTTGAATCTTGGAGTACTACCACTATGTGCGTTAGGATCTTCAAGAAGCTCTTGAATCTTGAGCTAAACCTTGAGTAATTGTATATTTTAGTTGCAATGTTTGCATTATTAAACTCTACCGTGTGCTATGATTGATCTTTGATTTAACTTGTAACCTTGGTTTACTGTATAATTTATTTTTTTCTCAACTATTTCAACCAAATTATATTCTTAATACATGTTTATTTCCTTTATTTTTTGATTTTGATTCTCCATTTGATCAAATTCCTTCATTCTGTTGAATTCTTCAACTCATGCAAATGGTAACACAAAAAAAGTTTCTCCCAATTCCTCAACTTTAGAGTTATCAGTTAGGGCCTAAAGCAGTTATTTCCGAGTCAAAGGAACACTAGACGGACAGTCGTTTTGTTCCTGCAACTAGCATGTTGAGACACATGATGTGCGACCTTATTAAACAATATGTTGATAATGGCATCTCCAAAGTGAGCAACGAGCAATGGTTCACTCACCGCTCTTATATAATTGGCTTCATTTTGTCCTGATTTACTTCTCTTGTCTCGTCTTGGTTACAATGGCCAAGATCATATTCATGTGTCTCCAAGTCTTTGATTTCAAAGGAACCCTCTTTGTGTACAATCTCCNTGACTTCTTTTTCGGTNGGGTCATAAAATGGCAGGTAGAACGAATCCACCTTTGATGCANTCACATGACCCTATCATAAAAGAAAGTTCATGACAATTCAAATATATGAAACAATGTTTGAACATATTCAAAATGTCGACGAACAATAAATGTTTTGGTTTTGGTATAGACTAGGTCACGGAGAGATTTGGATAATAATGTCCAAAAGTGACAACAATCTCTATGCAATGGCTTATCAATAGTGTTTCTACCGAGCAAAGTGAGAACCATACGTCGATTAGAAACCATCTCTTCAGAACGCAGTTTTAGAAATGTCGAGAAATCTCTTTGGAATTGGTTTAAGTAAGCCTTGTATGTACTTAGAGGACTTGAAGTTGTGATGTACACACTCGTCTTGTTCTTCCCAAGTCCTTCAGGAACCTTACAATCAGATAATTCCAAAACATTAATATAGCAATTTTCAAAATTATCGAATAACTCAATTTCTATGCAAATAGAGTTTTGTAATGAAGTATCAACACTTATCATACCTTAGAGAGCCAATGGAGACCATAAGAAGAATGAACAAAATGAAGACTCTTACAAGGGAAGAGCCTCGAGTAGAAGGAACCGGGGACTCCAGAAACGAAGTATGATTCTTTACTCGCAAGGTTCTTCTCTTTGAAGAATTGTATGGATTTGAATGTTGTGTTGAAATCGTTATTAGGGAGATCGTTTAGACAACAATCTATTTCTGGTGGGTTTTGATTCCTTTTTTGACATAACACATGGATTGTATTGATGATTTCGGACATTGCCAAGAACGTGTTTTGTCCTGAAGAACAACCCAAATCAGCTACTTTAATGTATTGAGGAAAGTTCAAGTTTATCATCAGTTCCTTTGTGTTCTTAACCAAGACATGCTTAGCCTTTGATAACACTCTTCTCTG